ATAATAATAATGCCATTTTTCATGTAATGGATTGAATAGGTTGAGGAAGTGGGCATTTGCGTAAGGGGAAAATTGAATTTAAATGGAACAGGAAGGAGGTTATAACGGTTTATAGAAGTGATTGGATAGCATTCATAAATTCTTTGTGTCAAGCACTGTAAGCATTAGCAAATGCGTTTCTGTTTAAGATAGATAAGCGTGCTCGTTTATGAAACAGTTCCGGTTGAGTACAAAACAGTCTGTTTCGATCTTTCAGTGAAGCCGTTGAACTGTTTAAAAGCAATTTTTACACGTTTTATCCGACTTTCGATACTTTTCTCTATGTGATGCGCAATTTTTTCGCAAGCTGATATGTACGGAAAATGGTTTTAAAAAAATTTTCGAAATGAAAGGGTCTAATCCTGAGACTGACGCAAATCGATGATGATGTGAGTCGAGTTGTGCCTTCATNAATAATATTAATAGCAATAGTTATGATCATCTTCAGCACGCTAATGTTTGCAACCGTTTGGGCGTGAATGCGATTGCATGACGTGCGATTGCATTCAGAAAAGAAAGAAGTGTTATTTAATGTTTAAATAACAAGTTTGAATGGAATTTATAATAAGTTAATGAGAGCGAGTGCTGATGCTGATGGCAGAGATTTTATTTGATTTATTGTTTTTATTAAACATTTACTTTATTCTATGCGAATAAGAACGTTGATGGTTAGAACAAAACGAAAGCTGAACTGAATGATAAAGAATAATAATAATAAATCAGCAGCATTCAAGTGCTCTATCTTCAACGGTTACTTTCGGTCAGATCAAAGAATTTGTTCATATAAATGAATGTATGAATGGATGGGTGGATGTGAGAAGAAGATTGTGATGAAAAAATGTTAACTTGTTGATGACGACCATATTCATTTGAAATTAGCAAGTTTAGTTCAGAATTATACGATTCGTATTGTATTGATCATATTCGATTGATTGATTGATTGATTGATCGGTCGATGATGACTGACGAAAGTTATTTCGTGGTTGGTTCTTATCACGACTCGTCTTATCACTCTACGATCGCTAAACTGATTTCCCCTGTTTTGTACGTATTATCTCCACTTTTACCGGAACATTTCTGGCATAGATTCAAGCGAACGTCTTCTTGCAGACGTATTCTACCCGTTTGAATCAATCCATTTATATATGTTGCAACGATTCTCTTTCATTGCAATCACCATATGTCTTCGCTTACACTCCATACTAGTGTGTTACGGAGACGGAACAAAGTCGATGACAAAATTTCGCAGTCGAGGACCCAGAAATTGTGGTCGGCTCGAAAAAATTCGACGACAGGGAATCGTGGACAGAACCCCGAAATTCTCCGGTCGCCGCAATACGCTAATCCAAACAGTACTAGCCGCCATGCATTTNGATCCGACCGTTGGCCTTGCCCTTCTTCGTCAGATGTTCCCAAATCTTTTGTCTCCGTCCTCCTTCCATCTTCTTGCGTGGCTCCCATGTGGTCTTTTCCGTTGTCTGATCAACGATCGAATATCGCGTCAGAACGACACGTGACTACTGCTTGGATCACAGCTAATTTCGACTGAAATCACAAGTTTTTTCACCCTCCGAGGATTCACGATAAAATTTCGATTGTTTCTGAACAGTTTCCAGTTATGCGAACAAATTTTATCCAGTAATTTTTTGATCTTTTGACAATTTTGACAATCTAGTGATTTTTTGACAATTGGCGGGTTGAGTTTTCTGATTTGCGTTATCCTAAAGTGATGCTTTCTTTACTCTATTTGCAAGAGAACTGTGTTCGTAAACGGGTATTGAGGCCTCTACAAAGAAGGGATCTTTTTGTTTTAGGAAATTAATCACTGGAAACGGTGATCACAACCACGTTTCCATGGTTACTCTTAAAAGATGTTGGAGATAGATATGAGACAACGTCCCGAAGCATTGTTTCATAGATTACCGAATTTGTCTCACATCAGACTAAATATCCTGTTCCCTCTTCTTGATCATTCGTTGGACTCTAGGAACAGTCTGATAATGAACTTGTGATATGCTATCCATAAAATTTGCATTGTTATGAACTGAATCGCCCGGAAGGAATTTATTCATTTTACATTGATTATGATGGAAAAANCGTATTGTATCCTCGAGAGTTACGTTCGTCTTATAAATTGCTTTTATCGAGAGAATTATGAATAATTGAGTGGTTTGTTGGACACTTCGAAGAGATATCAGGGCGTATTTGCCGTGTTTACATGATTGCATTCGAAAGCAAGTGATCGCACGCTGCGAATTGATACGAGTTCATCAGCGAGCGATTGTGACAATCGAGTTGCGAACTTGAAATGAAGCTTACTTAACCTTGCGAGCGATTCACACAACTGCTCATAAATTAATGGTGCAATGAAGTGCATACATTTTAATGAATTGCGTGGAAAATTTAGTGATAAATTTTTGATGTATTTATTGGAACGTTCAGGTATACTTCTGAAAGGCAATTCTCATTGTAATTTTAAATCGTTTCAGTTATAAGGCGGAACGAAAGAACGAGATGATTATTTTGTTGTAGAATCGAATATGAATGGATGCTCACCTCATGTAAGTGGTTTGATTTATGTAGATGATTAAAGTTTCATTTTAATCAGCTGTACGTTATTTATTTGGATTGATATTATGATTATTACTGTTGCCGTTGTTTATTTGAATGGAAGATGATATGATGGAATAACAATCATCAGGATTATGTGCCTCATTGTTCTCCTGCCGAACCGATGCAACTGCAGCAAAGTCAGTCAGCACAAATTGCGATGACAAACGCCGCGTCAGACAGCAGTAATACCAAAATAGCAGCAAAATCAGCGATTAGAACAACACCGAACGCCTCTCAATTTATACCACAACCTCTACTGACCTCATCTCAGGTTCTGCATATTCATCTTGTGATATTTGCAATTGTATGTTGTGAATTAATTAATTAAGGTACCATCTTCAAATGATAACAATGCTCAAGTGCCTCCATCGTACAATGCCAACAAAGGACCGTCGTCAACAAATGCATCAATGTTTCGGGTGCAAATGTGGTCAAATAACTTCGACAGTGGTGTACAATCCCTCAATCATAGTTCGGTTCGTTTATTACCAATTGCTTATTGTTCAGATCTATTCAAGTGTGACTGCTAACAGTTAATTAAAGGCAGCCTCGTTACTGTCGATGAGCTGCTCATCGATTCGATGTGGATCATCGCAGATCTCGACGATGTCATCAGAGGAGATGGATCAACAGCAGCAGTTAACGGATCAGCAACAACAGAAGTTCGACAAGATTCCAGCATCGATCGGTCGATTGAAATCAAGCTCCACATCTGCTTCGTCCACATCCACTGCAGTCAGCTCGGTGACTGCAAATCAAGAGTCGAATGATGAGAATCAAATCCGAAACGCCATACCCGAGTTGATCAATCTGTTATGTGATCAAGATGAGGTGGTCGTGCAGCGTGCCGCAATTATGGTTCAAAATATCGCCAAAATGGACAGTGAACAACCCCTGTACAGTGAGCAATCGCCTCTACTCGATCCGTACAAAGTGATACCCTCACTCAAACTTCTGCTCGGTAAACGATCCAATTCATCAGCGATCATCAAGCCCACTCTCGGTGCGCTCTTTCAAATCTCTGAGCGTTCTGATGGACTCGAAGCAATTCTACGATTTAACGAACAGTCGAATGGCGCTTTGTTAACAGATATCATTCAGCATATTAAGTTCACGTTAGTTTCATTCTCAAGTTATTGTATTCCAGAACATGGTGGATCCGAGCCTCCGGGTTGAAGGAATATTAACCACAATTGATATCAAAAAATTGACATTGTAGATTCACGTCGGCAAAATCAGTACAAAAATTATCACACACATATACCAATCATTATGATATAATAATGTGATCATCATCAGTGTCAGTCTATGTTTGATCGTTCCGTCACGTTAGGTTTAGGTGGTCGAAGGTGACATGCTATCTTCAGTAAATAATTGTTTAGAAGGCTTCGTAATAATTGCAGTGGAGGAACGGCAATTCGATATGCAATTCTGACGTTTCACACAATCATCGCAGATCGACAGTCGCAAACTATTCACGTGAGAAATATCGAACGTGCACGAAGTAACGGTGCTTTGCAGTCAATAACCTACTTCTTAGATCATGAATGCAACGAAAAGTTATTATCGGTTCTCGTCGAATGTGTTCGCTTGTTGTGCGATAAGTCAACGTCACAACGCGTTCGTTTCTTATTCATTTCTGTTTTGCTCGTTATGGATAATAACAACAATCTTCGTTACCGTTGCGCTCTTTCTGGCAACTCGAATGTTCATGTTAAGAATGTCAGTAAGATCGGGAAAAATAAAAAAACGCATGCTATAACTCATTGATGCGTTCATAATCTATCTAATTCTTTGAATTGCGCGTGAATTTGAACAGAGTGCTAGTGTAACTTGTCAAGTTATAAGTGAATCATTATTACAGAACTGTCACAAAAATTTTTTTGTGAAAAATTTTGGTCTTCCGCATTGCGAAGAAAAATGCCCACTGGGCGCTAGTGGGTTGCAAAAAGTTGTTGTTATTATTGATAGTAAAAATCATCGTGTGCGCCGTGAAAGGCGGTTCCATTCAAGGATTAATGGAAGGTGTTTGTAATGTAATCATTCAAAAATATTGTATTACTTCTAGGCCATATTTTTTCAATTGAACGGCCCATCAAAGCTATTTCATATACTGAAGAATCTACGTTATGAAGGTCTTCTATGGAGAACAACACAACTGCTGAAAATATTCTCGAATGCAGTAACTATTATTTGTTTTTCTCTAATGTCGTTTACTTTTCAAACGTTTCATCTTTCAATGATTATTTTCGTTAATTAAAAACTGAAGAGTGCAACCAAATTAAAGGATCCTGAGTCGATAATAAATGTTGGTGGTTATGACATATTGCATCGACAGCTAGACCATTCCAGTCAACGTTTGATAATTTCAACACTAGAGTGCATTCGGAATATGTCTGATGTACCTACAAAAGATTTAGACGTATCGCAGCTCATCACTAAGCTTTTGCAATTGCTCGGTTCGTTTCCCTATTACTGTTTTTGTTATTATCATTATTACTATTGTGATTATTATTATTATTATTATTATCTTTATCATTGTTATTGTTGTCATTGATACTATTATTATTACTAATCATTGTCATTATTATTGTTATTATTCTATATGCAACATAGTTGTTGGATTAAGATTTGATATGAAGTATAATTTAAATAAGAAAAGAGGGTATTATATATTGAGGTGCGGTTGATCCAATGATAGTGTTGTATTGTACGGGTATATTGTCGAATCTGTTGGCCAATAATCAACGAAACAAAGAATTCGTCTTTATGAATGGTGCCATCTCAATCCTCTATCGAGTGCTGATCAACTCCTATAGTATACCCGCAATTACACCCAACCAACAACAGCGCGTCGAGGATATTCAGGTTTTTTAGCCGTTATTGTTACGATTATTGTTATTTCTTGATGTGAATGGTAATAAGTGTAGTGATAATAATTTAATCAGGAACGGGCATTGGCAACATTGCGACATCTATGTGTAGGACATGCGCATCAACAGGAAGCACAAAAAGGAGTGATTCAAACCGAAATGGGTTGTGAGTTTCTTCTGAGGAAATTAACTGAAATGAGGCCGTCAATCCTTAAACAAACACTTCAGGTTATTCTCTTTAATGCATTCACGTATTTATTGCATGATCGATGCTTTGATTTCATGATTATTATTATCGGTCGTTGCAGATACTGAATAAAGCAGTTTTACAAGATTGCAATTTGCAAACAATTAAAGAGACTCGCTTACGGCTGTCACCAGAATATGAAACGAATTTCACCGAGAGGATTATTGTGGTGCTGAAAGTCGCTTGTGAGCAATTACCTTCTGTAAGTTTCCTTGTTTATTATTATTGTTATTATTATTATTATTATTATTATTATCGCTATTACTGTTATTATCATAAGTTTTATTGTTGTCATTGTTCATTGATAGCATATAAAAAAAGCTGAATTCATAGACTCAAATGGTAGAAGAAGTTCGCGTCGCTGAATTGATTCAACTTTCACTATCAACACTTCAGCTTTTGTGCAGAGATCACCATTTTTGTAATCAGGTTGATTATCATTGTTATTATCATAAAGTTCTGAATTTGTTCGGTCGGAAATTGTAGCTCGGAATTACGACTGAAATTTACGGAGCGAGCTTTAGACAGTTGCCATTTGCAATTATTGTCTTAGTGTACATTTGAGTGGATTGATGAATAAAAGACATAATATTGGCTGATGATAATGATAGTAAAATTGAGATGGTATATTTGATGCGTAGATCAGAGTATATGTTGTACGGAGGAGATGATGAGCAACGAAATGCGGTGTTGATAACGCTACCCATTTATTGTTTATATCAACGATATGTGGACGATGAGAATATTATTCGATCAGCTCTCGGCTTGATTTCCGAACTGGCTTGCAATCAAGAGGTTGTTTTTTGTTTGTTTTTATGTTTATGTTTATTATTGTTACTGATTGCAGATGGCAAGTGTTTATGCGTGTGACAGTACATTGTTGAGTGCGTTTGAACATTATTCAACAAGTCGTAATCAGGCATTTGGTTCGTTTGATTATATACCTCGTTTTGTGTTAATTATTCAGCTGAGTTAAATTACTTATTAAATTGTATAAAAATAATGAAATTGCAGCCACATATGCACAAAAGGCCTATGAACGCACGATGAATGCGAATTTTCATTTGAATCACCATTCGTTTTATGCGAATAGTAATAGTAATAACAACACATTAACACGCTCTCGAATGCCAAATCAACCATTATCAATTTCAACAATCAACAACCCGTCAACATCTTTACCACGAACATCTCAACTTCTACCTATCCCTCACGTTTCATCTGCTGCTGCTGCTGCTTCTTCTTCCTCTAATAATAATAATACTAATAATAATAACAGTTATCATCATCAAACGTATAATAATAACAATAATAACACATATTCATTAAATGATAATCAAATGCCAAATTATCCGTCTGAAATGTGCGAATCGTCAGTGAGTAGTCATACAAATGTGCAACAACAGTATCATCATGTTATCAACTCGACCACACCTCTGTCGCAGGTTCTTTATTTTTATTTGTGATTTTTGATAGTAATAATAATGATAATATTAAACAGGAGGCGATGTCGTTGACACCATCAGTGAGTACAAATTCGACCGAATTAACACAGCAACCATTGATAATTGATGAACGTGAAGGTATGCCTTCTTCATACAGTAACAATAATATTGTCACTGATATGGAGTGTTCTTCTGAGGTCTGGCCTGAGGTTAGTTTTTATTTGTCTGCTTAATCAATCAGCGATTCCCATAATTTATTATGAGTTCATAGATTTCTGGTAAGCGATTGAGATTCAATCGACAGAATTCGGTTCGAACATTTTTTGGAATTGTTCGGTCACACACACACGCACTGATCGAACATTTTGAATTTCGATCGCAATGCGAGTTTTCAAAAATTGGTTTTTAGTCAGAATATGAAAATGCGCAATATGTCTCGAAAATTTTATATATTCGGTTTCTGATCGAATCAAAACTCGGTTCGGTTACCAGCATTACTTATTGTTAGTGTTATTCGCCAATGCGAGTACATTCTCCTTTCGTCGATACTTTTATTTTCACCCAACTATCGGTATTTGTGCAGTATAAATGAAATTCGATTAATAATAAATAATTTGACGGCGCAAGAAGTGAAGGTAAGGCTGAATGAATGTTTTAAGGACGATCTGTCAGGTCTATCATTGAATGATGACCCATTCGCAAGCATGTTCTGCTCACATCCATTCGACTCATCCCAACAACAATCACATCGAATCGTATATCCGCCTGGTTCGTTTCTTTATCATATTAGTAAGCAAATAAGGAATGTTTAGATAGATACACTTGCTACAGCGATGAGTAATTAGACTTGTTTAGTGCAATTGCAATAATTCTATCATCACCAGTGGTCTCATTAAATTTCTCTCGCGCAGGTTATTCTCGATAAATTGATGCATTTGACTAGGTGCGGGGTTACTCACTCTTGATTTGTAGGGAAGATGGGCTTGAAATTAGCCTAAAAATACTTAATGTGATTTGTAATAGTAACGAATAAAGGTACAAGTCGGATATCGTCATCAGTGTCATCGAGTGAAACGGGAACACCAGCAGTAATAGCAACTACCGTGCCGTCTCAACCCACAGCAACAAATACATCTTTCATCTATAATCCTAATAGTAACGTGAACAATAATCATTTCTACCACAACTCTAGTTCAAACATAAGTAGTGTGCAGATGGGAAGTCCAGAAGCGCATGCTGCACCGTGGCATGATCCTTCGTCGATTCCTTTTCATAATTATCAGTTGTAGTCTATGGTTGTTAATTATAATTATGTTTAGTGCGAACGATGAATTTTATTGAAGAATGCTCTGATCGATTGACGTCTTATTTGAAGCATGTATTTTGTCTTTTTTATAAAACTGATAGTGAACGTTTATTGATGAACATATGCAAGATAGATATAGGTATGTACAGCACTGATTGTTGTTGCTCAATAATAGTAACGATAATTTATTGTTTTGTTATGATGGCACATTTTACTCGCATCTAGATCGTTTGATATGCAAGCGTACTGAACACGTTTCCTTATTGCCTCTCCATCTCGTGTCCTTTTTATCAGTGTTATTGTTGTTGTTTTTGTATGTTATTTATTATAATAATGACAGTAAAATAGATAAATATATTAATTTTGACTGAAACAAGAGCACAGTTCACTGGTACTTTTTAATTTATTGATTAGTGTTGGGAAAAACGGGACTATTTACCAGTACTAGTTGCTCGTGGAAAGCGAGTGAAGTTAGAAGACACCCCGGAAAGCGATTTTCTTTCGCTGGAAAAAATAGTCTCCAAAATGCGATACTCCGTCGGCATGGAATCCCTCCTCCACACACTCCACTTCCAACACTATTATTGATATGTAACGCTGTCATTGAAAACGGTGCAAGTGAGAATATATCGTAAATTACCGTATAATATAATGATTTTCACACGAGTATTGTAAGCTAGGCGCTTAGAGTTATGGTAATGCAGTGGTGCCTTGCAGAAGACAACTTCAAGGCCAATGCATAGCTTCATTCTCACATTTCTATCAGCGGGTGTTTAAGCGTTTAATCCAGCGCTCCTGAAAAATTACGCTGTCCACTGAATTTATTTCGCTTTGGTGTACCAGGTAATGCTCACCCCCTTGGTAATCCTACAAATTATCTTCATTCATTATCATAATCATTATTACGAATATTTTTCAGTCTGTTATGCACATTGTTTGATTAGTATTATTTTACTGTTAGCTGTTTTGCCACTTCATTATTATTAAAAGCATGAAGTGATAACAGTCACTGACATTTTTGCTATAGTCTTAGCAGCTGTGGCGTACTCAACAGGGTTAGGTTTCAACTGTTTAGTTTTTGATTACAACAATTCATTTGTGCCAACTAATAAAAACGGATTAATTAATCAATCCTTCTATTCAGTCTCGAGCATTTATTAATGGTGAAATGATTACATATTTGAGAGACGCGTGGCGTTGATGGCAATAATTTAGCAAACGTACTGACGGAATGGAAAAGGAAATAACGTATTTGTTCAAGAATTTTCTCATTACGTCATCAATCAAAAACTGCGATTGATTCATAATATCGGCTGCAATATGAACATCGATAATACGACTTGTCCATAGTTTTCTACTGTCAATAAGAGTGAGCCGAAACGTTGAAAATGATTGAATTCATTTCTTATTGACGATCTTCTTCACCATTCAGTGATTAATTTTTTCCCAATGGACGAATCAGTGTGTTTGTTGGATATTGGCAGTTCTTTGGTAACGATCACACAGCTCACGGTCAGGTTACGTTTACTAATACTAGCATTAAACTCAGTCCCAAGAGCAAGTGCACTTGACGTGCAGCTATATTGTTATAACGCAAACAGCTGCAAGCAGCAGCAATAAATGAACAGTGAATAACTTATCCGCCCAGTCGCCTACGCATCTTTGTGAGTATCTATCTGCATGAATGAATTGAAGAGTGAATGGTATAAATTTGACCCGAATGCACATTGTAAATGCTGACTGAGAGTAGAAAGAGTCCGATAAATAACACATCTAAACGATCCGCTGCACAGATCATCAAAAATTGTTGCTTTCACAAAGAAGTTTTTTTTTTTCGAATTTGTTCAAAACGGAGATCTCATTCAGCCAGAGTGTTTCAAGCAAGTAGAAATGTTCTATTAGAACAATTTGAAGAGGTTTTTTTTTTCTCTGTATATACATATATTTGCCTCATGAGTCAAATTTAGCGTTTTCCGCTCGGTAATCACTGATCCACTCTTACTTAGTATTAATGCACTGACAGGCGATTTAACTTCGACAATGTGTACAGATTTGAGACGTATACATTGGTGGGCGCACTATTCGTTATCTCGCTACTAGTGGACCTGCTTTTTTCGGTAGCGTGACAGTCGTTAATTTTTTTATCGGCTATAAAAATTTATTAATTGCAAACAGTAGCGACAGCCTGTGCTATTTTCTTTCATTGGAGTTTTGGCATGCTATTTTTTCACACTTCCGCTAACTGGTCACTTTTCGTCT